ATATTAAGATTTAAAAAAAATAAAATATATATATATATATATATATATATATATATATATATGTATATGTAGTAGTAGTAGTAGTAGTAGTCTAAATAACACAACACCATATGCATACCTCTAAGTAAAAAAAGTTAAGAACCAGAACAAGCAGAACAGTGGGATCTGTATTTGTATTTATCCCTGTGACATCCAGCATCATAGACCCCAGTTTACGTTTACAGCACTGATATCTACCGGTTCGGGATTTAAAGAGTAAAATCAATAGTGTTTTTGAGGAAATTGTTGTTGTATTACTGTGTTCTGTATATTGTATGTACAGGAATCATTTTTTATATTTTTGTCTGTACTTGTGTTTTTACCTCATATCCCTGACTGCAAGTCAAGTTTATCATCTGGGATAATAAAAAGAAAGTGGGTACTGACAGCTTGATAACGAAAAGTGATAAAGTGGAAATGCCATGATGTGAGTTAGCAACTTAACACTAGTTGCAGAATTTCAAGGTAAATGTAAAGTAGACACCTTTTCACGGTTCTAGCTGCATGTCCTTACTTACCACTTGGACACTACTGAAACAGATATATTAAGTCATCTATATGACCTCTTTGGACCAGAGAGAAATGCAGAAAACATTGTTAGAACTTGTTTTCTCCTTCGCATGTATTCTCTGAGGTGCAGTGGCCTGTTATTTGACCAATACTCAAACTAGAGATGAGAAAACTGCGGCACAGATTGAACTGATGGTGAAGAGGAGATATCTTAAATCTTAAAGAAAGACAGGCAGGTGTGACTGTAGGTATGAATAGATTTTACTGAATGTTCACAGTGAAAAGATATAAAATCTTTTCAAATGACCAGATTTATTGTCAGATTTATTGATGAATTCTTTTGACAAATGACTATTAGCCCTATTGAAACCATTACAGAATTTACTTAAAAACTATCAAGGGCAGCTCAATAATAGTCTATATATTTCACTTTTGTTTTTCAATTTCATGCCCAAGCAGTCAACCCATGTTGCAGGGTATATTGCACCATTCAGTCTGTGTAAGATTTATAGGAGCAATATAACCGATAACTCCTACTTAATGTCGCCAGTCCCTCCTCTGTCTCCACAGTCAGTGTTGTTCAGCTCACTTTCATATCCCGTTTTTATGTCTCTGCTGTACGAGGTGGAGATACTTGGAAGACTTTGCTGCTGTGACACACAGACTGCTTTTAGAAAAACTGCAGTTATATAATCGTTGTGAATTTTAATTTGTATGATGCATATAGTGCAATTTCTTATGGCATTTCCAAAGCAAAACTCCGCTACATTTGAGGCATTCTGACTGTGAGGCTTGATTATCATTAGTCATTAATGTAGGCTTTGCCACAGTCACATGTGGGTCGCCTGCTGTGCACAAACTTTGTTTCTGCTAAAGATAACAGTTCTGACATGCAATTTGGGGATGGGCCATTTATTGCTTTGAAAATGATACGTGGAGTATCAAATCAAAATTAAGAGTACCTGAAGCCACTGCAAGATGAAGTACAGTTTCATCTTTTAGATCTAAGTCTGTCTTTAGTCAGACTGGTCAGCAGTGGAAATACATGATCTACCTTTAGTTATATGTTTTTTTTATTTATATGACTAGAGGCAAGTCACAGAGCTTTTATAAATCTTATAGCTGCTCTCCCTCACACAAGCATCTCCTTATATTGGCAACTCTTTGTTAGCAGGACATTTGTATGCATGTTTTCTCCTGTCAGTCAGCTGCTCCATCCACATTTGTTGGTGCGCTGTCAGATTCAGGCTCTCCACAACCACATCTTACCTTAAAGCCCAAACAGAAGTTTATCTTTATTTATGAATCTTCTCTAATCAGTGCAACAGCTATTTTTCCTGTCCAAAGTTTTACGTGATTAATCAAACATAACTGAATATAAAATTATATACATTTATTATATACATACATATTCATATCAGAGCACAACCATTACCTTGAAATTCCACTGTGGCTTTATGACGTTGCGTCTGGGACGCAGCTCTTTGATCCGCCTGTTTTCAAATCCTACTCAGAGCGTTTTCAGAACCCTAGAGGATGTAGACTCTACAGGGTGATTTTTTTTCCTGGGCAACTATCATGTTTTTCCCAAATGATGTACAGATTTGATTATTTCAAATGGCTTGAAAAACAGTGCGTTTAACTGCCATGAATGGGGGAAAAAAAAGACCCCTCTAAGTGTGGGCTAAACCCACACTTAACTTAAAGAGAGAGAATAAAAAGACATTGTAATGTTTACAATGTCTGGCTCTGCTTATCAGTTGTCACTGTCTTGCACATATTTCCCAGAAGAAAGATAAGAAACTGAACTCCTCCACCCTCAGCCAGGACAGACCAGCAAGCATCCCCTCGGCCTTCCATCTGAAACAGTTCAGGACCAATGCTGCTTGATTCTGAACTATCTCAAGCTTCTGCACATGTTTTTTTTTTTGCCACACTGGACCATATCGCAGGGCAATAGTTCACGTGTCAATACCTAGAATTGCAAACAGCTTTATTGTCATGAAGTTTAGTCAGAACATAAATATGATGACGAATATCTTGAGTATGGTATGTCAGAGTAATTAGGAACAATGCAGAGCTTTAAAAGCAATAAATTGATAAGACACCTGCTTAGAAAACATATGGTGTTCTTCCAGAACAAAGCAGAAAACTTAAAAAAGTAAGTTAGGTGCTGTTTTCCTCTTGAGTTTCTTTCCTCTTGTAGTTGGTTTGTTATTTACAGAAATGTAAAACAAGGTTTGTAACATGTGATATGATTTACTGTAGATATAAATTTGAGTATTTTAATGAATATTTCCAAGCTGATGTAGAAATTATGCATTCATGAGCTTTGGTCCCCGGGGCGCACTCATTTTCAATTTTGGCTCCCAAGATAAAAAAAAGTTTAACAACCTGCTGCAGAAATGAAACAACACGCAGATTTCTGTCATTTCTATGTTTGGATTGTTGACAATTCGTGTAAAGTGCTAACAATGACATCTTTTTCTAGTGCATCCAACAGTTTATGACAGCAGAGCAGTGAAAGGATTTTAAGATTTTGTCTGAGAAGTGTGGGCGCAAGCATGCTCAACTATTCAGACAGAATGTAAAAGTACTTTGAGTGTATGCAACTCTATTGCGATGGAATATAAAACTATTTCAAACATATTGTAAAAGTATTGCAAGGCCACCAGATCTTATTTTTCCTCTTGACATTTTTTTTAACCTTCGTTGTCAGTCTTTCCATAGAAGTGTCATCACACTAAGTTTTAAAGGTCTGTCTGCACAATGTGAGAAATTCGTTTCATTTTCACTGAAGAGGAATGTAGAGGGTATTGGTAAAACAACCTATTTTCATTGGGACACTTTCATTCTCCTGTATTAGCTCATATGTTAGAGTTCGGCTCTGTGTGCAGCCTGTGTAAAGATCTATATTCCTGCTGCCGACTGTAATTTCAGCTCTCTCTTCTTCATGTCTGTGGGCATATTGCTCTGATACATTTCATATTGCAGCAGTGTGATTGTGTCATGAGGTCTGGAAAATACAGAGCTGTTTCTGTGAAAAGATGTGTACTCCGTGTCCAGTATGAAACCTCGGGGAGCCCATTACCTTCCCCCCCTCGTCGAGGATTACATGGATCAGATATTGAAAAAAACCCACTACAGTATTATCCATCTAATACCCTTTCTGCACCCCTCTTACAATCCAACTTCCTCTCCCTTTTCTTTTCTGTCATAATTTCACAATTTTTCGCTTCCGTTCGCTTTCTCACTGCCTCTTTCTCTCTGTCTCTCCAGGGCCAGCATTGTCCAGAAGAAAGTCATTTATTTCCAGGATGAAGGCTCTCTCACCATTCGGCTGTGTGAGAAAGGTAATGACAGCTGCCCATCATCTCCTCCTCTCCCTTGTTGGCTGCTCATCTTTTCATCCTTGACCGCTCATCATGGTGCCATTATCCCTTGTTCTATCTGTCATTTTTTTCCCCACCGCTTCGAAGCAGAACAGCTCTTTTATACCGTGTTAAAAAAAAATATGAAGCCAACAGAGGCAGCGGGGAAATATGTGAGGACAGCGAATCACAGATCTCCTGGGAGTCTGTGTGGAATTTAAATATTCCTTTGTATTTCGCCACAGAGCAGCGCCACAGCTTTTATGTTACCTGTGATTTCACCGCAGAGAAAAATGCCACGCTCCCCCAAATAAACACTAAAGTCTTGTGAGACAGTGAGGGAGTCTCTGAGCTCTGATGCACACCTTTATTGTACAATAAAAACCAGAGTCCGGACAAATGGTTTTTAAAACTCAATCTCAGGGGATTTTTACTTTCATAAAATCTTCCTCTCCACACCAAAATCTAATTTTCCAGGCTATTATGCAAGCCAATCAAGCTACCCTGTTTTCAGTTTGCTTACTCATCCTGCTATAACTTAGATGTCAAGTGAGAATTTCTTCTGAATAATTTGGTGACTCATAAATATTCAAGTACTCCCTTTGACCTATCTTTGCAAAACATTGGTCGAGGCCAGTATTTGAATATTTATGAGTCCACGTCAAGGCTAATGTGTCATTTAAATACCAGTTTATTCCAGCAGTGTAATTTTGTGACATTCTTACTGGTTCCAAATTGTAGTCATCTAACTGGTAATTTATTCAGGTGTGCATTTGTGTCAGAGCTCGCACGCCAGCCGATCTCTGTTTGTCTGTTTGCTCTCTGTTTGAACTGTGTTCTCTATAAATGATCTGGCTTGCGCATCTTGTCTACACTTAAATCTTTACATATGGGTGTGTGTTCAAATTCCTCCTCCCTGTAGAGCGTGTGTTCGGTGAAGCTACAGAGACTCCTGCCATGGAGTGCTGCGCCTGTGGAACAGCCAAGTACAGACTCACCTTCTATGGCAACTGGTCAGAGAAAGTACATCCCAAAGACTACCCAAGTGAGTTCAGACTGCGGGCAGGCACTAATGCATGCATGTACACTGAACACATCCACAGTATGACTAGAGAACACACTGTAGGTCTGCATGTGTATAGCTAACTAATAAACACAGATCTGTTCAAAAACAACATGTTTTTTTCTACAGTGGGGTTATGGGTCGGACTATTTCTTGGCCAGATGAAGTGACTTCCTCTAGTCCAGTGGTCTCAAACTAAAATTGGCTTGGGGCCACTGCTGGTATTGTCATCTCATAGGAGGGCCACTTCAGTATTCAAGTGCTACAAGAAAGCACAGTATTCTGAATAAAATTTAATATTTCCATTATTAATGTGAATAAAATAGAATTTCCATACATTTTTATATCATCATTTTGTATCATCTTTGTTGTTTGCAGCCAAAAACCATTAAAGCCCCAAAGCCCCATCTTACCAACCGTTTGCAAGCTTTTACGGCCACCTTTTAGCCTTTTATTATTTTGCAGTACATTGAAATACATTTTTCAAAACAGAACTGTGTTTTTATAATAATTGTATATAAAGAGGTAGTTTAAATTGATATGAAACAACTATAAAACTATAATACAACAATAAAAATAATGATCTTGTGGTCTGGATTCTATTATATTTTTGACATCATGTTGCAGGCCAGAGGGAGGGAGAAGGAGTCCCAGATAAGGCCCCCGGGCTAGTAGTTTGATATCCCTGCTCTAGACTTCACCAGTTACTGCACCCAGCCAAGAAATAGTAATAGTAATCACTCACTACTGATCGGTAGTAGCACAAAATGGACTAACATGAAAAAAATGTTACCATGAATGAAGAAAAATAAAATGGCACTGGCTGGTTAACAGGATAAGGTAATAAATGTTATTGGCTTCAGTACATGAACTAATGCTCGTAAAGTATTCTGTGTAGAATCTGTTACAGAGGTGGACAAATCAAGGCAAACTATAACAGCCGAAGAAAAAGCTGACTGACCAACAGTAAAATAAATGTTATCATGCTTGTCTGAAAGCACTGATAATCTAGTAGCAGCTAGTTTTCACTCTCTTCTTGACTCACTTATCAGAATTTTAACTGATTTAAGTCTCCTTGTCTCTCCTTCTCCCGTCTTCCAGGGCGAGCAAACCACTGGTCGGCTCTGATTGGTGCATCTCACTCCAGAGGCTACGTGCTGTGGGAGTACGGAGGCTACGCCAGCGAGGGCGTCCGTCAGGTCGCTGAGTTTGGCTCCCCCATCAAGATGGAAGAAGAGATTCGACAGAAGGTAGGGTCGACATCAGACGGAGCCTCTGCGGGTTCTCTGTCACTCCATTTTTGATGTAACAGCTCCATTTCCATGTCTTTCCATGTGTTCTGACCCTCATTTTGGACTAAAACCAAGTGCCAGTGGCAAAAAATGTGATGCATAAAATGAAAAAGAAAGTAATTCAGTCAAATCCAAGAACTCCAGTCGTACTCAAACTGCAACTTTCATCAGTGCAACAACGGAATGCACATACTGTATCCTCATTATATGTACTCATGCCCCCCTGCTATTTGTCAGGGGCTATTACAACATACTGAGAGGTTAATGACGGGCTGAGGCAATAAGAGTCTGAAATGACAGACACACACACACACACGCGCACACTAATTTTGCTCTGTCAAAATGGCAGCTGATGAATGTGCAATACAGTGAAATTCTCATTTCCACGTTGGGGAAAGTGTTAACATAGCGACGCAGGGCGGCTCTATACTCTCACCCTCTCATTAAACCAGATGCATATTGACAGTGCGTGCTGCTTCACTCTGCTTGAAATCAGATTCCCTTGGAAAACATCAGCAGACTTCTTTTGAGTGAACTATGCCTTTAGGGGATCAGATATTTTTGGAAGGCATCCACTGGCATAGGGTCTGAGAGGACAGGCCTGTTGCCTCCAGCTCCCTCGAGAAGTGCTGTGTGTGTGTGTGTGTGTGTGTGTGTGTGTGTGTGTGTGTGTGTGTGTGTGTTGTGTGTGGTGTGTGTGTGTGTGTGTGTGTGTGTGTGTGTGTGTGTGTGTGTGTGTGTGCGCGGTGAAATTGAAACATAGCACGGACAAGGAAGTGTGCACGATAGGACACAACTGAGAGATGTGCTTGAGCATACTGGGGGGGGGGTCTCAAATGCTTGCAAATCTATTTAAGGCTAGTTACCGAGCTTCGATATTTTTGTGGAACCTACTAAATTTGCTTTGATAATATTGTATATGGAAAAATATATACTGTGACGATAAAAACTGGCTTACGATCATATATTTTGCTATGCCGTTTATAACATGGAACGTAGCTATCCCTTTAAAGAGAAACTTAACATTGTGTTTTAGCTTCAACACACCTCTGTCAATTATTTATTTTTTCCCCTAAGTTTTTGAATCCAAAATGCTCCTATACATTGCATTGATTCTTAACGTCCAAATGATCACAGATGCTTCCATTTGTTGACAGGAAGGTCTGAGGATAGAGCCACCAACCCTGTGATCAATGAACGATCTGCTCTACCTACCTAACTATAGCTGTACATATAATTTACTAACTCATCTTAACAATTAGTGTTAAGTTACTCTTCAACATCTTTGGTTGTATTATGTTGCAACAGTGGGCAGGGTCGCATTATGGCAACATAAGGTCTATAACATATTTACATCAATGCTTATTTGTCCGGTATTTAAAATTGCCCAAACACAGAGCATCTAGTTATTTTGTCAGTTTCTCAAATAATTTCCCGAAAATGTACTTCATCACGATACACAGTAGGTCAGTATCACAGTACCATGAAAGAACATTTCATCCACATTGACCAGCCCTAATCTACGTATAGGCTACATGTGTGTCCTGTGTGCTGGTCCGACGAGGGCCCACAGTACATGGCTGTCTCTGTGTGTCCTCTTTCCGCCACTCTCTCTCTTTCTGTGGGCACTGAAAGGTGTGTCCTGGCCATTTGGAAGGGAACAATAGTGTGTTGTTAGTGGGCTGTCAGTGTGGTGTGTGCCTGTCAGTTTAGGTTTGGGTTGTTGTGTGGAGACATTAGAGGCTGACGGACAGCCCTAACTCCTCTCTTGGCTGGCTCTGTCTGTCTCTGGGGCTAATAACTACCCTGACACAATGGAAACTTCAGCCTATTTCATAGCGGAATGAGATGGCTTGATTGTGTACTGTAGACTGGAATGTTAGCAGTTGAGCTGTAGAAAGAAACAGCTCGATTGTACACTGTATACTGGAATGTCAGCTATTGAGTTGTTGGACTTTGTAACAGGGAATCTTAAATCTTTTTTTTTAAATCTGATTAAAAAAGGTTTTGTGTCCTGCACTACATCCCATTCATATGACAAAATATATCCCACAATGTGTTAAGTGTCTCTTCTTTCAACAGGAGGACTCTGTGTAAAACTGTAGCTGGCAATATATTAGGCTGGCGTATTAATGCAGTGTGAATGCACAAGTCCAAAAATACAAAAAAGTAAAATAAAGTCATACATTCAAAAATGTAAAAGAATTTTGGTTATAAGACATAGTAATAATGCTGCAGCTTCTCAAGGTTGGACAAGTGAAAAACATAGTCAAGAGGGAAGAGCATTTCAAAGTGAAAATCACTTCTGTTTCACTTAATGGACTGAAACAAATCATTATTTTACTGAAGATGTGATATGTTTGATTGATTTATGAATTGCTTTACAATTACAAAGAATTATAACGTTTATATATTTAAACAAAAAGCAAATCATCACATTTGAGAAGCTGCAGCAGGTGTTTGGCTTTTTTTTATTTGACGCACACAATTAATTATTTATATGATTGGTTAATAACTTCTGCACTAGAAGGCAATAATTGAAATGACTAATTTACTAATATTTTCTGTGCTCATATGCTGTAGTTGCTGAACTGGTAGAAAAAAAATCAAAGTCTGCCAACATCTCTAAAGCTCAGTGAGTAACACAGTTTGGGATGTAAAGATTTACTTGTACAAGTCGGTTTTACCATTACATGTGACTACATCGGTACACGGACCCTTGGATCAATCAAAATGTACTATGAGGGATATTAAACACTTTCTAGCCACAACTTAGCTACAACTCAGCGAGGTCTAAGGTAATCACGGCTTTCTTTTTTTTTTTTTAGTTATTTTTTTGGCCTTTTATT